CTGTCTGACATTACAACCGAAATAATACTCAGAAATACACCTGTCTGACATTAAAACCGAAATAATACTCTGACATACACCTGTCTGACATTACAACCGAAATAATACCCAGACATACACCTGTCTGACATTACAACCGAAATAATACTCAGACATACCCCTGTCTGACATTACAACCGAAATAATACTCAAACATACACCTGTCTGACATTACAGCCGAAATAATACTCCGACATCCACTTGTCTGACATTACAACCGAAATAAAACTCTGACATCAACCTGTCTGACATTACAGCCGAAATGATACTCAAACATACACCTGTCTGACATTACAGCCGAAATAATACTCTGACATACACCTGTCTGACATCACAACCGAAATAATACTCAAACATACACCTGTCTGACATTACAGCCGAAATAATACTCTGACATCCACCTGTCTGACATTACAGCCGAAATAATACTCAAACATACACCTGTCTGACGTTACAGCCGAAATAATACTCTGACATACACCTGTCTGACATTACAACCGAAATAATACCCAGACATACACCTGTCTGACATTACAGCCGAAATAATACTCTGACATCCACCTGTCTGACATTACAGCCGAAATAATACTCTGACATACACCTATCTGACATTACAACCTAAATAATACCCAGACATACACCTGTCTGACATTACAACCGAAATAATACTCAGACATACACCTGTCTGACATTACAGCCATAACAAAACTCAGACATACACCTGTCTGACATTACAACCATAATAATACTCAGACATACACCTGTCTGACATTACAACCGAAATAATACTCTGACATACACCTATCTGACATTACAACCGACATAATACCCAGACATACACCTGTCTGACATTACAACCATAATAATACTCAGACATACACCTGTCTGACATTACAACTGAAATAATACTCAGACATACACCTGTCTGACATTACAGCCGAAATAATACTCAAACATACACCTGTCTGACATTACAGCCGAAATAATACCCAGACATACACCTGTCTGACATACACCTGTCTGACATTACAACCATAACAATACTCAGACATACACCTGTCTGACATTACAACCGAAATAATACTCAAACATACACCTGTCTGACATTACAACTGAAATAATACTCAGACATACACCTGTCTGACATTACAACCGACATAATACCCAGACATACACCTGTCTGACATTACACCCATAACAAAACTCAGACATACACCTGTCTGACATTACAACCGAAATAATACTCAGACATACACCTGTCTGACATTACACCCATACAAAACTCAGACATACACCTGTCTGACATTACAACCGAAATAATACTCAGACATCCACCTGTCTGACATTACAACCGAAATAATACTCAGACATACACCTGTCTGACATTACAACCGAAATAATACCCAGACATCCACCTGTCTGACATTACAGCCGAAATAATACTCTGACATACACCTGTCTGACATTACAGCCGAAATAATACCCAGACATACACCTGTCTGACATTACACCTGTCTGACATTACAGCCGAAATAATACTCAGACATCCACCTGTCTGATATTACAACCGAAATAATACCCAGACATCCACCTGTCTGACATTACACCCATAACAAAACTCAGACATACACCTGTCTGACATTACAACCGAAATAATACTCAGACATCCACCTGTCTGACATTACACCCATAACAAAACTCAGACATACACCTGTCTGACATTACAACCGAAATAATACTCAGACATACACCTGTCTGACATTACACCCATAACAAAACTCAGACATACACCTGTCTGACATTACAGCCGAAATAATACTCAGACATACACCTGTCTGACATTACAGCCGAAATAATACTCAGACATACACCTGTCTGACATTACACCCATAACAAAACTCAGACATACACCTGTCTGACATTACAGCCGAAATAATACTCAAACATACACCTGTCTGACATTACACCCATAACAAAACTCAGACATACACCTGTCTGACATTACAACCGAAATAATACTCAGACATACACCTGTCTGACATTACAGCCGAAATAATACTCTGACATACACCTGTCTGACATTACAGCCGAAATAATACTCAGACATACACGTGTCTGATATCTTTTGCTTGTGCTACGTCTGTGATATATCTAAATGAAGCTTAAGAGTGACTGAATTCTTGTGTTTATAAATAAACATTGTTCATGTATAAGATTCAATACCCGTGTTTATTTCATCAGCATCCGCCACACGTATTCAAATGTTCCTTTCTAGCTATAAATCTGAAGAAAAAATAATGGCCTAGCGTGTTTTGTATTAGAACGGAAGAATACGCCTTAAATAAACGAAGTGTGTTATTGACATCATCAACACGAATCCGTTGCTGTTACTACATGCAAATGTTATACCACCCAACAACGACAATGACAAATGTATATGCAGACGGGTGGTACAACACAGCTCGGGTAATTTTAGTGCAGCAATTCACATATGATATGACATAAACCTGGCTTTACACGTTGTATCATAGGGACAGGGTGGGTTTATATGACACGGCTATCAATGAATATCACCCGCCCGAAACGATTTCATTGCTCCGATTACAACAATTATTTCATTTTAATATTCTACTTACGTCATCGTTGTCAATAATATTTTTTAAATGCGAAAATAATATGAGATGAAAGAGTTGTAGTCAATAAAATGCAAGCCGAGTGTAGGTACTTTATCTTAATTCAGATCATACATCTTGGCATGTATAGGTACAATTAGATGTACCGATCACAACATACTCACTATGCTAATTATATACAAGCATGTAAATAGGTATATTAATGTTTACCAGAGAGCGATAGACAAATATATACGAGTGTTTCACATAGATTACGATCTCGATGCATGTATTTATTGCCAATGTCGTTTTTCTCACGCTATGCACACTTAGGAAATTGTGTTCTTCCAGATGATAAACGCTTAAAAGAAGCAACATCAGGGAAATATAACGAGTCTCTGTATACTTAAACCGCCAAGTACTTCTCTCAGTTTGTACATATACATATGTATCTACTAGTTCTAGTAACCCAGCTTCCAAAGCAATAAGTGTTCCTGTATTGACAAATTGTACTTTAATTGTACATTCGAAATCTGTAACTTAACCGCTTAACAATGTTCCTCTGTGTTAAATATGTTTTAAAGGGTTCCGCACGGCGTCTGAGTGCTATCACATGACGTCAAACAACAGTAACGCTCAGTACATCCTCGATACTCCAGGGGTTTCGATCACTTTCGCTCTCTCCATCCCTGGAACATTTCAATGCAAAATTAAAGGCACGGGCGAAGTAATTGGATTGGTTCCAGGAGAAAAAAATGACCAATCACAGACTGATACGTTCCTTTTGAAGATTACAAATGGACGACATCAAACTTCAAAACCTTTACCGTTATGCGATCTCAAGATTTGTCTTGTCCACAAGGTTTTCACACATGAAACCTTCAATTCTGCCATGACATGATCCAGGGGTGCAGAGAGCGAAAGTGATCATAACCCCTTTGAACATGAAGGATGCTATCAGTACGATAAAAGAGCATTGTTATTATTTCCTTAAAAGCGATGATATACAGACGCCCCTTCCTATAACGATATTATTTAGTGTTCTAATCATGTCGTTTCTTTCTGGAATTATAAACACAAACATCTTTAACAAACCATACGTAGTTTACATTTCGGCGAACCTCTTTACAGACATACAGTATTAGGATAACTAGTTTAAAATAAATAAATATGTAGCTTGTCTTTTCATTTATATCAATGTAACATATATAGTATACTTCCATCGTCAGGAAATAGTTTAATTGACCTGTTAAAGTGTGTACTGTTAGAGAAACCGTGAGACCTATAATGTATGTTTAGTAATACAATCTTAATGTTACAGTATCATTTTACTATCGCATTTTCAAATACGATTGGTATTTTCAGTTCATGTGAAAGTAAATGTTTTTTTGTTTTTTGTTTTTTGCCATTGTAGCTGGCAAATTGCTTCTTCATTTTTGTTCGTTTTTACCTGTACAAGTTGTAAATACTCCGAAAGATAGATATTCGAAAGACAGTGTAGAATTCATACTTGGTAGTAGAAGTGTAGTTTAGATGAAATTCTCGTAGTCGCATGAACAGTAAAAACAAGTACGAACTCCAAATGAAAGAAATATTACTCTGATAAAACGTTTACTTATTTCGAAAGTAACCCCCTTGATGTTTTGTGGCACCAATAGAAGAAGTGAAGATGCTGCAGAGACGCCGCTGGAACCTGGAGATGATCTCTGTTAGTGACGTCAATCGGTAATGAACTACACCTCGGCCCAACAGATACTAAGTATTATTTTGACGTAAGGAACATACAAAGTTTACAAATCAGTCAAATAAAAAATGGTGTTTACGAAACGTTATGTGTTTACAACCTATACTTCAACGTGTTTGGCCTTGCTTTTCATATCTGATTTTTGAAATAATATTTTGTTTCATATTATTGAAAATAAAGCATGAATGTTAGTTTCAAAACCATCGGTGTAAGAGAAAGCACCGTATATTTGTACCTAAGAGTATGAAATGCAACATTATGATAGTTATATTGGCAAAGACTCGAACTAGCAAGCCTTGTCTGTAATAATTTGTACTATTAACGCCCTGGATCCAACCAAGTCATCATCTTTAAAAGAATCATGCAGTGTACTCCATACATATCCAAACCTAATCCATCATGCAAACAAAATGTGTATTATCGTTTTATTATTGACGTAGTAATCTTATAAATAGATATAAATAAGGAGGGAATTTCCTAATCATAAGTCATCCATCGATTCTACACGCATTTCACAATTTTAATTGTTGAACGAAATGCAACGATCACAAAACGTAATTAAGATCAGTCACAGAAACAGATATCAACAACACTTTCAACGATTGTCATCGCTTTTCCAGCCGAACTCTCGGAATGCCGTACATTATAAATGGTTTCCCTTCCAATTCTGGTGAAGACACTCCACTGTCTATCACATGTTGTATTACGTCATTCATGACGTTGCTGTCCATAGCCTTGCGTGTGTAATCCCAGGATCGAGAGTCTTTACTTTTACTGTGAAGAATCATGGATACGAGTTGATCATTTGCCTGCTTTCGCCAATGACTCCATTCTTGGAGACTCCCTGTATCACTTTCCCCGTCCCCAATATCCTCGGTATCCGTTTCCTCAACATGATCGGTGGAGCTGAATGTCAACAAACGATCGTCTAGAAGAACTCTGTCCACTATATCCGCACGCTCACGCGACCGGTTGACGGTCGTCACCCATGCGTCAACTGAATCACAACGACACTTCTCTTCAAATTCTGTCGAATGTTGCTTCCACTTCCGTAAGTCAGAAAGAGGCAGATTTAAGGCTTCTGATTTCGATGTCCAGGTCCGATATTTCTCGCACGATGCGCAATGACGATGGTGTTGCAAAGTGTCATGCTTTCGATCTTTTGTTGTAGATTTTCCTAGTTTTCGCCAGAAATCATGAATTCCCATCTTGTTTTTATCGGCCTGGAAGCCTGGAATTATAAAAAACAAACATACAACAAAGAATTATATTGTTTTGTGTAGTAACAGTCTTAATATAATTTTTCCAGTTGCATATCATTAAATAGTGTTTTGTTTTGCGTCAGGGTAATAGCATAATTAAACAGTGTGTAATTATTTATGTACATACATTTTAGTGTTATCTGGAGTGCTATTAAAGCCAATACCATATTATGGTTAAACTAATATCTTCTTTTCCCGTGAACTCATGCCTGGGCCCGTCAGAAATTGTTTGTGAAGTCATGATGGTGACAATGACGTTTCGTTCTACATTGAAAACTTCTTTTGGTTTTCTGTATAAAATCTAATGAAACAAGTCTTAGGATTTTATCAATTCTTCCAAAACTTTTCAGATCTTGTACACATTTTCTAAAAATCTATTAAGGCCTTATTGCAAGGGAATACCTAACTATTTCGTATCATATTGAATATGTAGGGAAATAAATGTATGTTACACTCCAACTGTACAATATTGTTCCGCTAGCCACATAATCAATGTATGTTACACTCCAACTGTACAATATTGTTCCGCTAGCCACATCATCAATGTGTGTTACACTCCAACTGTACAATATTGTTACGCTAGCCACATCATCAATGTATGTTACACTCCAACTGTACAATATTGTTACGCTAGCCACATAATCAATGTATGTTACACTCCAACTGTACAATATTGTTACGCTAGCCACATCATCAATGTATGTTACACTCCAACTGTACACTATTGTTACGCTAGCCACATCATCAATGTATGTTGCACTCCAACTGTACAATATTGTTATGCTAACCACATCACCAATGTATGTCTCTGGAATATGATATACATTGGGCTTTATAGGTTGTTTTCGATAGAGTACAATGCAAATGTAAATATTTTCTATTTGTCATTTACCCAGGCACAAATTATTCTATCTGTGATGAAATGACGTTTATTAAAAATACAAATAGACTAGTTTTTCATATTATCTCATTAAGATATGTTCAATAGAAATGGTAGTATTTGTGGCTGGGAAGGTATAAATGCAATTGTAAAATGTCCTTGGTTACAAAGTCTATCAGTAGAGATTTCAATAGTCGATCGCAAGTTACGTGTAACTCCAACAGGGTTTATCCAAAAACAATGTAAACCAACAAAAATTTCTCTAAAATATTAATTTGAAAATTATTGAATAAAAATAGGGACTACAATTCACATACAAGTCTGGCGACCTATCCATTAGACTACAATCCACATACAAGTCTGACGACCTATCCATTAGACTACAATCCACATACAAGTCTGACGACCTATCTATTATACAATTCACATACAAGTCTGACGACCTATCCATTAGACTACAATCCACATACAAGTCTGACGACCTATCCATTAGACTACAATCCACATACAAGTCTGACGACCTATCCATTATACAATCCACATACAAGTCTGACGACCTATCTATTGACGACCTATCCATTATACAATCCACATACAAGTCTGACGACCTATCCTACAATCCACATACAAGTCTGACGACCTATCCATTAGACTACAATCCACATACAAGTCTGACGACCTATCCATTAGACTACAATCCACATACAAGTCTGGCGACCTATCCATTAGACTACAATTCACTTACAAGTCTGACGACCTATCCATTATACAATCCACATACAAGTCTGACGACCTATCTATTATACAATCCACATACAAGTCTGACGACCTATCTATTATACAATCCACATACAAGTCTGACGACCTATCTATTATACAATCCACATACAAGTCTGACGACCTATCTATTATACAATCCACATACAAGTCTGACGACCTATCCATTATACAATCCACATACAAGTCTGACGACCTATCCATTATACAATCCACATACAAGTCTGACGACCTATCCATTATACAATCCACATACAAGTCTGACGACCTATCCTATACAATCCACATACAAGTCTGACGACCTATCCATTAGACTACAATCCACATACAATCCACTATCCATTAGACTACAATCCACATACAAGTCTGACGACCTATCCATTAGACTACAATCCACATACAAGTCTGACGACCTATCCATTAGACTACAATCCACATACAAGTCTGACGACCTATCCATTAGACTACAATCCACGAGACCTATCCATTAGACTACAATCCGACCTATCCATTAGACTACAATCCACATACAAGTCTGACGACCTATCCATTAGACTACAATCCACATACAAGTCTGACGACCTATCCATTAGACTACAATCCACATACAAGTCTGACGACCTATCCATTATACAATCCACATACAAGTCTGACGACCTATCCATTATACAATCCACATACAAGTCTGACGACCTATCTATTATACAATCCACATACAAGTCTGACGACCTATCCATTAGACTACAATCCACATACAAGTCTGACGACCTATCCATTAGACTACAATCCACATACAAGTCTGACGACCTATCCATTAGACTACAATCCACATACAAGTCTGACGACCTATCCATTAGACTACAATCCACATACAAGTCTGACGACCTATCCATTAGACTACAATCCACATACAAGTCTGACGACCTATCCATTAAACAAACCACATACAAGTATGACGACCTATCCATTATACAATCCACATACAAGTCTGACGACCTATCCATTAGACTACAATCCACATACAAGTCTGACGACCTATCCATTAGACTACAATCCACATACAAGTCTGACGACCTATCCATTAGACTACAATCCACATACAAGTCTGACGACCTATCCATTATACAATCCACATACAAGTCTGACGATCCCTACATTATACAATCCACATACAAGTCTGACGACCTACATTATACAATCCACATACAAGTCTGACGACCTATCCATTAGACTACAATCCACATACAAGTCTGACGACCTATCCATTAGACTACAATCCACATACAAGTCTGACGACCTATCCATTAGACTACAATCCACATACAAGTCTGACGACCTATCCATTAAACAAACCACATACAAGTATGACGACCTATCCATTATACAATCCACATACAAGTCTGACGACCTATCCATTAGACTACAATCCACATACAAGTCTGACGACCTATCTATTATACAATCCACATACAAGTCTATTATACAATCCACATACAAGTCTGGCGACCTATCTATTATACAATCCACATACAAGTCTGACGACCTATCTATTATACAATCCACATACAAGTCTGGCGACCTATCTATTAGACTACAATCCACATACAAGTCTGACGACCTATACATTAGACTACAATCCACATACAAGTCTGACGACCTATCCATTAGACTACAATCCACATACAAGTCTGACGACCTATCCATTAGACTACAATCCACATACAAGTCTGACGACCTATCCATTAGACTACAATCCACATACAAGTCTGACGACCTATCTATTATACAATCCACATACAAGTCTGACGACCTATCCATTAGACTACAATCCACATACAAGTCTGACGACCTATCTATTATACAATCCACATACAAGTCTGACGACCTATCTATTATACAATCCACATACAAGTCTGACGACCTATCCATTAAACAAACCACATACAAGTATGACGACCTATCCATTATACAATCCACATACAAGTCTGACGACCTATCCATTAGACTACAATCCACATACAAGTCTGACGACCTATCTATTATACAATCCACATACAAGTCTGACGACCTATCCATTATACAATCCACATACAAGTCTGACGACCTATCCATTAGACTACAATCCACATTCAAGTCTGACGACCTATCCATTAGACTACAATCCACATACAAGTCTGACGACCTATCCATTAGACTACAATCCACATACAAGTCTGACGACCTATCTATTATACAATCCACATACAAGTCTGACGACCTATCTATTATACAATCCACATACAAGTCTGACGACCTATCCATTAGACTACAATCCACATACAAGTCTGACGACCTATCCATTAGACTACAATCCACATACAAGTCTGACGACCTATCTATTATACAATCCACATACAAGTCTGACGACCTATCTATTATACAATCCACATACAAGTCTGACGACCTATCTATTATACAATCCACATACAAGTCTGACGACCTATCCATTAGACTACAATCCACATACAAGTCTGACGACCTATCCATTATACAATCCACATACAAGTCTGACGACCTATCTATTATACAATCCACATACAAGTCTGACGACCTATCCATTATACAATCCACATACAAGTCTGACGACCTATCTATTATACAATCCACATACAAGTCTGACGACCTATCCATTATACAATCCACATACAAGTCTGACGACCTATCTATTATACAATCCACATACAAGTCTGACGACCTATCTATTATACAATCCACATACAAGTCTGACGACCTATCTATTATACAATCCACATACAAGTCTGACGACCTATCCATTAGACTACAATCCACATACAAGTCTGACGACCTATCTATTATACAATCCACATACAAGTCTGACGACCTATCCATTATACAATCCACATACAAGTCTGACGACCTATCTATTATACAATCCACATACAAGTCTGACGACCTATCCATTATACAATCCACATACAAGTCTGACGACCTATCTATTATACAATCCACATACAAGTCTGACGACCTATCCATTATACAATCCACATACAAGTCTGACGACCTATAGATTAGACTACAATCCACATACAAGTCTGACGACCTATAGATTAGATTACAATCGACTTACCATTCTGGTGAGATTTCCACTATTGGTCTTTAATATCAACAAGTTATTCTTAAAACTTGTTAATCCTAGCATTTTAGGCAAGCCGAGTTTTAATTGTCATTTTACCCACTGAAGATCATTTTTGGCTATCGAAGGAAAGGAAAATCGAGTTAAGTAAGATCAGGCCTATATACTGCATATATCACACATAGATTAATGTTATTAAATCGTTACCTCTTCAGATATGTCTCCCGATGTCTCCTCCAAAGTTTAACAGAAGCTGATACATGTACACGTCTCTAGATCACCTAAACTACTACCCTCTCTGCCGATCATCGCACATTTTACCTGTCTGTGTATACCTGTCAATTTCAATGATGACCTGTCACTTGCTCGGAATAAATTTGTCACTTTCAAGAAGGAGGCCCCTTGGGGGTTCAGACAATGATTGTCTTATCCTCCATTGTTTTCGGTAGAGCACCAATTCCGCCCCTGGTATTGTGACGTCACCAACAGATGGATGGCGTGTGCCGTACCGCATCATTACCTCAACCAAAACATTGCACACATCATTACCTCAGGTAACAGTGATCTACCTGGCTATCTTCAGAGATCTTAATCACTGATGTTGTCTTAGACAGGTACACGATGCATTCGTGCGGTCATTGTCGCCCCAGGCCGCGTTACGTCTCGTTTCGTCCGCAGACACTTTGGACACAATAGATAATTGTCTTGGCAGGGGATTTCCAGCCTACGTCATCATTTATAGCCCTTAATAACTAGTCGTGTAATGATAAATCTTTTGTTTACTCACATTACATGGACAATTTGTTTAGATGCTGACAGTGACCGACGGAGTTTATTTTGTGTGTGAAAACATCTCGATCACTTAAACTTTCCATATGCTATACCGGCGTTGTACACTGGAAAGGACGAGTCCAAATCCAATCCGTCATTTTATAGAACCTGTAGTGATGTCCAGTGGAGCGGGTCGTGACCAACCGTGACCACTAATAAGGTGAACAATGTAGTGCTACCATACCTTTGGGTATACGTCACGGTGTGATGGATGGGATGGCATACGATTTCAATGTATAATCAATAAAAAGTAAAAGTGACGTCGGTGATAGATATATGTGTTTATATATATATGTCACCGGTCAAGGTCTTAGTTTTTTATAATCTTAGATTTAATCACACTGCTCTAAATGTTTCCGCTGTTAGTATAATAATTTTAGCGTGTCACATTGTTTATAGCGACGAATATACCATACCAGCACAGGCTTTTCCCTTGCCGGCCAGGGACGTGTCAGCATTGTCGTTCCTATCAAGGAATAGTATTTTTAAGATGGTGGGAGAAGACGGAATTAAAACTGCAAGTGCTCAGTTTAAGCTACAAAATCGCTGGTTTATTCATTCAATCTGATCGGGATAAGTACCGCACATTACTCTGAAATACTCGAAATTTATATTACAATATTTGTTTACTACTGTTCAGTACATAAATAATCGTGGGCCTCTTTATAAAATTGGGCGAGGTTACGCACGTTTTTCATCTTTCTTTTAGATGTGCAAGGGTACTAGTATAAAGGCTGTTAATTACCATTGCTATCGTTAAAATGTTTGCGGAGATGATTTTCAAGGTTCGGTTGATCATAATTGTTCGATTCGACAGAACTTATTGCCATCATTGACAGGAAAGACAAAGACCAGATTTGTACTGAGACCTAGGATGAGGTATTTATCGAAACATTTCGCCTGAAGAGAACTTTTCAAGTCACAGTGATTTGTACTAGCATCAAACTTTGGTATCACCGAGATTTCTTAGTAATAAATGTAGTTAATGACACGATTTGAAATCGATGTTAAACATGTGTGAGGATTAAAATAAGAAATGGAAATTCTTGTTTTTGTTTGTTGAGAGTATAATTACATGTTCTTATAGGAAAAAGAAAGTGAAACTAACTATCAGTTATTTACGGCAAGATGTTACCGGAAGTTGTTGATATTGTTTATGTCAATGTTAAGCTAAATAACAGATTAAACACACATAAACAAACAATGTGCGCTTGTATTAAGCTAAAGAATGGTATCTCTGATGAGGGTGATGTACAGCTGGTAAACTTACCAAACAAACTATACCTGTATCAGCATTGTAAGCACGTGAGTTGTAGGTTTTACCGAAAAATGAATTAGATCTGTTAGAGAGAAGATTTATTGTGAAAGCAGTTCAATGATTTGACAACAGAACACGTACTAATACGTTTTATGGACTTATCGGACGGCTATCCATAGAAAGTTATCAAAAATTGTTATTTGTAGAAAGACTGTGTTATTTACATGAAAACACAATTACGTCTTCTATATTGCTAGGCAATATGTCTCAATGTTAGATGTGCCTAAAAGCAATGTCGGAGTTTTAGACGATAATCTTTCATGTTTCCAGAAATTGTACGCAAATCTGTAAATGTCACAGTTTTCTTGTCAGAAATTGGCTGTTGTAGTGTATGCATCGGAATGTATGGAATTTCTCTGTATACATGTAGTATAGTAAATAGCGGCTACACCATAGAAAAAGAAATAGTAGTGACCGATACCAGATTGATTTTTAAATACATGTAATTACATCAACATACAATATATTGTATACATTTCATTGCTATATAATTACATCTGTTGTTCAACAGCAACGCCATCATCATAATGATGTAAGTACACCGCTTTACAGTAATAAGTGTCAGTCTTATTGATGTCTTGGATATGTCGAGACATTCCGGAATAAAAACTCAGCAATGTCATCTACACGGTGTAAATACAGACACAGTATCACAATATTTAAGGATGATTGACGGCATAATAAAAATTCTAAGAAAACTGCTGACATTTCCCGCGAGGACATAAACCACAGAGAACTCTGTACCTGATATCACGGTAGGACAAAGTTAACCATTATACATATATAATTAGTTATAACCTCATTGCAGTATTACATCAATCTACACAACAATTATAGTGTATGTTAATGACTTAGTACACCTGTCAGGTAACAATACACAGCGGTTATTGATCAGTTTTCATCTATCGCACATTATTTAAACTGTGGAATTACAAATGATTGAATGACTGGGAGATAACAATTGCAGAAGTGTTTGTGTGTTTATCCACAAAATATATTTTAAGTTGATTTGGTAAAATAGATATGTATGTTCAAGTAGGCCAGACTGCAGAAATGGAAAACATAGATTTTTCTATACTCTTTGTTAAAACTTCGTGAAAACGAAATCTTCGCTCGTAGTCGTCTTTTTTTTCGCTACGTAAAGCCACAGGCAGTGGTGTAGGGGACGAAAAGACACTTGCCTTAGTTGCTCCAGGCATGATCAGAACTACCAGTGAAAATTTAAATACGAATTAGCCACAACTTCACGGATAAGATTTGTTATAAAATGTCCGATCGATATGTTTTGAACGCTAGTTTTGATTTGAAAGCCCATGTTTTTTTCAGTGGCATCAATTCATTTTTTGCATTAACACTGATTAACTGTAACCAAGCTTCTAGCAACTGGACCTGCTTTTGTAATGAATAAAAAGCTGATGTGAAGGTAAGGTTTCTCATTAATGCCGTTCATGTGTAGACTCGAACTGTTAATTCATTGTTAGCTTTCAGAATCAAACCTAATGGTAATCTGCAGGATACCAAATTAGATACTGCTTCATGAAAATCATAGAAAACGGCGAGTAAAACAGATTCCCACATGGGTGTCCACCGAAAACCTCTCCATATACACCTGTATCATTATTTATAGGACAAAAACGATATTAAGAACACGCGAACTAAGATTTAGTAAGCTAACGAGATTCTGCATTAATATATAATATATACAGTTTAATGAGTTTGGTTAACTATACTAAACATTAACTGTTGTCAAGGAAACGGAAAGTTCTAGTACCATAATTCCATAATTAGAAAAAAAAAACAATATTTTATATATGTAGGATAGTGGAAACCAAGGCGAAGAGAAATCAGAAAGCTGGTTCGTAAGCTTGCTGCAGCAAACTATTACAAAACGTGTCTGTAAATTGGCCATGAAGGGCAAAACTCTGAAGCTTTTTAATACATCGTCTTGGCTGCGGCTGCAAGCCTTTACCAGCTAGAGGACAAAGTGTTTTCCTGGTTCAGTTAAAGAAAAGCACTCAGATATTGCAATTTCCGATAGCTTATATACACAACTATCGTATGAATATATAAAAAATGCAAGGAAATGTCGGTAAATGATAAGTAAATCAGGTAAGATATCCTTTAGCTTAAAGACAGGACGTCTTACCCAGACGATGTAGACTACAACACTGCATGGCCAGTAACTGATAATGTTTTGTATATTGTCACTTATAATTATCATTATAGTGTTTATATAGTTAGACAGTATAGAACGACTGTGATTTACAGAGATAATTAAGTCAGGTAAATTGCTTATTTATGGTACTATTTAGGCAGCCGTCTGACAGGTATACACATTTAGCATACCATTATTGTTTTGTTATCCTTCACAGCAAACAGTTTAGTATAGACTGCCGTTCAATTCACCACTCACATACGAACAGACAATAAAATAGTACATCACCTTCACAAACCGCGAAAGTATATAAATAACAATGCAGGTGCGTTTTTTTAACCTAATCCGATAAGACTTAAGAACTGAAACATTGATAAATAGCACGCATCTCTTGTCTGTGACATAATTTTGAATGCTGATATGTTGGTTGAGACAAAATTTGAAATATGCTGCTATATCTAAACCGTGAATAACATCAAACACAGATAAGATGCAGAGTTATTTTGATTTTTTTTTTATTTCTGCCCGCCAAGGCTCATAAAAATGAAAATTTCTACTAAAACTTTCATTTAAAAAATCTCATATGAAGTGAAACTAATTTAATTAAATTGTATCAACTAAAATTTTCGTAGAGTTGCCCAGCTTTTAGTACCGGTGACGATAGACTTGTGAAACACGTGCTCTACTTACAAACAAGCGTGTTGTACTGTATTATAAAAAGCCTTTATTGCTTTCATTTCGGTTGATTTCCGTATCCCATAGCTTTACATGATATATACACTTGAAATGACATCCTTTAGATCCTTGTGATGGAGGTTAGAAACAATTTAGTTACACTTCCTATCCAGCATGCGTTAACAGATCAATCAGACAATATCTTTCAATATTAAACAATGACCAACTATTTCAGCATAGTGAATTTCTCTGGACGTAAATTAAGTATTTACCAAAATTCCTTAACCTGGAAACTGACTTGATTAGTTTGTATACTTACTTTACCGACATCTAAGTTTGAGTGGTCTTTAGTTAAATCTAAAATAAACTGTGTTGCTTTTCATCAACATCAGTCAACGCCATCTCGACTCGGAGCCCTTGAAATCTACGAAATCAAATTTAATCATCAATTAAAAATTGTCACGTCATTAGTGTGTCTCTTGTCCACTCCTTCGATGGATGGAAAATACTTGGCTTAGTTACACGAGATTTTCATTTGAAAACAGCAAAGAGAATGTCGACAGAACCTTAATTCAAATTCATAAAAGATCAAACGAAGGCAAAATATGAACAAAATAAATATTCACAACCAAAGCAGTATTCTAAGGATACAATAAAGGCAAAAGTAAGTAAATTAAGGTCTGTCATATTGCTGAAGAAAGAGCTTCTTATTGAAAAAATCAATCCTGTCTGAGCTATGGTGGCTTTACAAAGCGAAAAAAATTACTGTCATTTCAAATGACACTTTTTATCGTAAAAACGCCGTTTTATTTTCTGTAATGAAATTTTAGTGCCATTCTTTGACGTTAAGGGGAGTTTCTGGTGATAATAATGACATGTCTTAATGTCTGACGTGGTGAACAGAGCAGAAGTCGTGAATTTTGTACTCACATTTCTGTCATACTCGTAAGGTAAATATCCATAATAATTTATATACTTCGAATCTTCGTACAATGAACTGCGTTGGTGATATACAATACAAAATTAAAACGGCTATGTCTTGAACTGTTTTGCTTTCTGTGACGTAAGGACACTCACAAAAACCTGTCTGTAAATAAATGAGAAGAGATGTTTCACGGTTGTTGGTTCCTAAACACGTCCAATGATCTTTATCTCAGCAGGCCTAGAGAGAAAAGGATATATTCGTGGAATAAAGAGAGAGATAGGGAAAGTGGAATTACGTACACGCATTGTTGCAATGTCAAAACTTTTCATGATTTACGACGGATCATGTCTCGAAAGTCATACAAACATGACACATACAAATATAAAAGTCAGGAAAACGCTGTGTCAATAAAACCCATTTTAATTTCACTTGAGCGTGTTCAAGAGAGATTCGCGCCGTAGGGAAAGTGCATTTAATGGTTTAGGTGCATTTGCCGCTAGTTATTGTCGAGTTTGTGTAGATGTTTATACCTCCGTGAGTGCCCTCAATGATTTCTTTTCGTTTAAACACCAGTGTAGAACAACAACACCCTCAGCAATTAAAACGTCATAATAACAATTAGGACTAATTACACCTGTTCTTACTACACGTGGCTCTGGTTTTTAATTCCAAGCACAGCGAAGACACTTTGAACTACACAATAAAGAAATCTACTCAAAAACAAACCCTAAAGGTTTTTGTTCTCTGGCAAATATCCACCGCGATACAGCCCAATGACGTCACAATCCCAACCTTGCCCAAATGTTATTTATCAACTCCCAGTCGAGAAGCATCTGTCTCCAGACAACGATGCTAAAGGGTGTACTCATGTGAACTACATCCCGGCTGACCTTTGACCTTATCCTCGTCTAACCTTTCTCACAGCAGATGATAGATACGGGAAAACAATTAACCTATATATCGGTTACGTTAATCCGCCTTCCTGGACGTTCGAGTATATAAGCCATCTTCTCTTCCCTAATGCACCATATCACACAGCATCAGCAACCCAAACGGACGTCTAGCATACAGAAACAATCACGTGACTCGATTTTTGGAATCGAAGATATTGCAATATATTGACTTGCATTCGTGAAGATTGTTTTTCATTTATAAATTTTCAGTGAATTATAACCAGATAAGGACAATGAATGTTCATCTTGCAATACTATTTCTGTCAGCAATAGGCGTGGTGCTGGTCAGTTACGTGGACTCTCGTCCCAGGAAGGCCAAAAGACGTGGCCGTTGCCAGCCTAAGATGTTGGCGGAGTATAATTTGACATTCTACGGAGATTGGTCCCCCAAGACGTTTCCTCGATTTTATCCTCGTGTCAGACCCCCAGCACAGTGGTCAAAACTCGTCGGTAAGACTTGAACTACTATTATTAGAAAGCTGTCTGGCTTTTTGTTTGCATGTCTTTTCCTATTGCTATATGTTAAATTTATATGTCAGAAAATATGATGCCGAAATATGCATATTGACACATAATTTACATGTTATGAATATCTAACCGTGCAATATATCAATTTGCGAATACTCCGAAATGTTAAATATTACATTCAGTCAAATGAAAAAAATACAGAAACTTTGGTCTAGATTTGATACAATTTTACAATTCACTCTTATATCTCAACGGGATTATTTGTAAGTCGCTGCCGAATCCTTCCACTATGACAAGTGTTCTGTTCACAGACTATCAACTTTAACCACGTTTGATTATCGAATGCTCTCAGACATATAATGGAATGTTTTCACATTTGCGCTCACGTGCTTCGGAAACACGCGCACGAGAATTTATGAGATAGTGACAATTTTACCGAAAAGGTAATGTCGATTCGGACATTTCTAACGATAAGGTGATTACGTTTAGGCCGTTTTTAATGGTAGAAACAATTGCACGTGGGGTATTTTTCTGTAAAGAATTAATGGGACATTTTTCACTGTAAAGTAATCTTATTTGGGATATTTGAAATAAAATAAAAAGTTAATTGATTGCATATCAGTTCATTGGTTCGATTCTACGGAACCACAACTAACCTTACGCCGATGATGTTAACGAATTATCATTATGTAATTAACTTCACTTTATAACGACGTGCTCTCTTAAACCCAGGGATGACTCAGTAGCCACACAAAGTTGATACCGAAAAGGAAAATATATAGCTAGCTAGGTATGATTAATAATGTACAACTAATTTATACTAACAATATATCACTTAAAATTAGATGTAAATACGCAGACCTGTGGATTTGCAAACTCGTAACGGCTGGTGTGATATTTTGCTGATTCATCAGCTCAGTCTAATGGTGTAAGGATGTGCATTAGTAATACGTCACAGGCGTCGACACGCACGTGTATTACCAGACATATCGGACCCCCCGCGAGGTATCAGATACCGTTAGATAAGTAGACTCCCCTGTCATCTCGTTAGATTTCTATAAAACCTAAGCAAAAAAATGTTAACGTATAATTACACATTAATAAATAAATTTTAAAAAAATTGGCTCACAGCCAATCTTCTTCTGAAGAGAGTTAAATGTATCAGTTTCGCCCATGGCTTGATCTTTCGATTTCATTTCCTGTTCGGTTGCCTCGCAATATAACCTATATGTCTCCATGTCCTTGATATCCCCCTCTCCCGCACGCTTCAGCCCTCTTCCTCTAACTTTTCATTGCCATCAAAAGATAATTGCGTAATATCAACAACAAACGGTAGATTTACAAGCGTGATTATTCCCACGTTACACCACACGTGTTATTTTCATATCACGTTGGTTGGTATAATGCTGTATGATGTGACTGATAATTGAGTTTAATATCATCAGTATATATCATAAGGATTGAAACTTGCTTTGTTTAATTTAATTTGTGATGAATTTTGTTAGTGAGACAAAGACCATGCTTGTCTTAGCCAGAGTGTCTACTAATAATGACTGGACGCTAGAACTAGTGCAAGTCCGGGTTAAAATAGTCCGTGGTAAGGTTTTTTCAAAGACAATGATACAGATAAATTATTCTTAATACAGTCAGATGATACATTACCTTCATGACAATAAGACTTAATACTGAAATTACTTCGGAATTCATCACTTTTTCGGTTTTTGTTTTCTGTGGTTGACAAGATTAGATGGTGCGAAATCCGAACAGACTCTAGGTAATGTTCAAGTGTAATTACAACATGTCCTAGTGAAGGAGAACTGATTGATTTATTTCAGGCCGTTCTCATGACAGTACTTATCAGTTGTGGACACTGGGTGGGAACGCCAGCGATGCAGTTAAGGCCTTTGCTGAGGATGCTGACTCCTCTACGCTGGACCAAGACGCGCAGGCGTATAGAGGCATCTTTGATTCGTTCACAGCCGCTCCGATAGAGAGTGGGATGGGAAGGTCCGCAGTCCGTTTTCTGGCAGACGGTCAACACACGAAGGTAAACATGTGTACGATTATGTTGAAATGCCACTGATATTAAAAGAGAGAGCGCTTACGTAATACAAAGGCAGGTAATGTCGAGTAGATTTTACACGCCGGTTGTGTGATTTGACGAGGAACACCTCATATGTTTACTGCTAATAGTTACTAGTTTGGGGATTTCATGTTTAGTCAATTGATCATTGTGCGTCTACCCGTAAAATATTATCACACTACATAATGATATATTCACGCGTCACTTTTCCAGATGTCTTTTCTTGTGAAAATCGTCCCTAGTCCAGACTGGTTTGTAGGAGTTGCTTCCCTTGACCTTTGCCGAAACGGTCGCTGGAGGAAGGAAATCACTGTGGACTTGGCGCCACTTGATGCTGGGACTGATCAGGGACTGACGTTTACATCTCCGAACTGGCCAAACGTACCAACCGACCCTATCAGTGAGATCACTAATACACAACCCAACCATCCAGCCAGCGCATTCTTTTACCCGGAAAAGGAAACACTTCCGAGAATAGGCCATATTGTTATCACGGAAGTTGCCGAATACAGGCGGCGGGGACGGAAGTTAGATTCATCGCCAACAGGACCGAACGTGGTAATATTTGATCCAGAAGAGGATGAAGATTATCAATACTATGGTTTAAAAACTGGTAGTCTAACTCAATCATCTGGATCACCACACGAAGATGAAGGTGGTGAGTGTGTTAAAATTAATTATCATTATGCTAAATATTTAACTTCGACATGTAATTGATATTGTTATTTTTCCCATAATTTGTGTGTTTGTTCTAGCACTCCTGTTATTCTTTAGGTTAATTTCGATATGAAAAACCATGTACACCAGTACAACGAAGATGGCGCTTTTTATTTAAAAAACCGTTCTGTTTTTGTTATAGGCAAACCACAAGATTGTACGGTATCAGAGTGGAGTGAATGGTCACCGTGTTCAAAGACATGTGGCTTCGGAATTCAAACGAGATCACGTGATGTAATCCTGTTTCCGGTAAATGGAGGGTACGGATGTCCAAAACTAACAGAACAAAACACGTGTGGGAGCATGCGCAAATGCAAATGGGGACATTTTGACTATCTATTTAAAAGGTCTGGTTGATCACAGTAGAATCATCTAGCCTGTTGTTTGTTGGTTAATTTATTATTATTGTTAAGTTTTAATAGTGATTTGATATGAAAATTTACAGTTTTTATTTTTTATACTTGATGTAGAGTGTACAAACTGTATAGCTGATATTTGTTGCATTGTCAACTAGTACCTTCTCTTGTGTAGTGAGAAATAAAACAAAAACATTTAACATTGCTGACAGCGTTGTACTTACTTCTGTCAATTCCTCATGATTTGTCACGTATAAGATTTGCACAAAATGACTCTCAATCAATCGAAGATTTGCTCTAGTAAAAAGTAAGAACAATGAAAAACATACATAAATTCCCATTCTATAGATTTGTAACGGATGATGACACATTTCCATAAGTCATACGTGTTACGGACGATAACAGGCACAAACTAAAGGCTTGCAACGGACAGTAACAAATATCCAAATTAAATACGCACCATGGACCGTAACAAACTTCAAAACCATAGGCCAGTCACGGACGGTAACAAATTTCTATACCATAGCAACGTTACGGACGGTATCAAATCCCCAAGACATAGATATGTTACGGACGGCAACAATCTCCGTACTTTAAATGTGTTTCCGACGGTAATATATTCCAAAACAATGGAAGTATTTTGGACGGTTACAAATCCCAATACTACATATCTGTCATGGGCACTAACTCTAACCCCATTGCATCGACGTGATAAAGACGGTTCCAATTCCCAAATAATAGACATGTTACGGACGGTAGCGAATTCCCTTACCATGGACGTATTACAATTGGTTAGAAATCCCAAACTATAAACTATGGACGGTAACAAATACTCTAACCATGGACGTGCTGTGGACGGTAACAAATACTCTAACCATGGACGTGCTGTGGACGGTAACAAATACTCTAACCACGGACGTGCTGTGGACAGTAACAAATACGCTAACCATGGACGTGTTACGGACAGTAACATATAAGCATACTACAGACGTGTTACGGACGGTATCGTTGAACCCCACTACAGACGTGTAACGGACAGTAACAAATAACCTTTCTACAGCTGTGTAACGGACAGTAACAAATAACCCTACTACAGACGTGTTACGGACAGTAACAAATAACCCTACGACAGCCATGTAACGGACAGTAACAAATAACCCTACTATAGACGTGTTACGGACAATAACAAATAACCCTGCTACAGACGTGTTACGGGCATTAACAAATAACCCTACTACAGACGTGTTACGGACAGTAACAAATAACCCTACGACAGCCATGTAACGGACAGTAACAAATAATCCTACTATAGACGTGTTACGGACAATAACAAATAACCCTGCTACAGACGTGTTACGGGCATTAACAAATAACCCTACTACAGACGTGTAGCGGACGGTATCGTTGAACCCCACTACAGACGTGTAACGGACAGTAACAAATAACCCTACTAGAGACGTGTTACGGACAGTAACAAATAACCCTACTACAGACGTGTTACGCACATTAACAAATAATCCTACTTCAGACGTGTAGCGGACGGTATCGTTGAACCCCACTACAGACGTGTAACGGACAGTAGAAATAACCCTACTATAGACGTGTAACGGACATTAACAAATAACCCTACTACAGCCGTGTTACGGACATTAACAAATAACCCTACTACAAACGTGTTACGGACATTAACAAATAACCATACTACAGACGTATTACGGACATTAACAAATAACCCTACTACAGACGTGTAGCGGACAGTAGTAAATAACCCTACTACAGACGTGTTACGGACAGTAACAAATAACCCTACTACAGACGTGTAGCGGACAGTAACAAATAACCCTACTACAGACGTGTTACGGACATTAACAAATAACCCTACTACAGACGTGTAGCGGACAGTAACAAATAACCCTACTACAGACGTGTTACGGACATTAACAAATAACCCTACTACAGACATGTAGCGGACATTAACAAATAACCCTACTACAGACGTGTTACGGACATTAACAAATAACCCTACTACAGACGTGTTACGGACATTAACAAATAACCCTACTACAGACGTGTTACGGACATTAACAAATTTCCCTACTACAGACGTGTAGCGGACAATAACATATATCCCCAAACAAATGATGTGTTACAGATAGTAACAAATTTTCCGTACCACCAAACGTGTGCCGAACAGTTACAAATACCCATACCGCAAAACGTGTACCGAACAGTTACAAATACCCATACCGCAAAACGTGTACCGAACAATTACAAATACCCATACCGCAAAACGTGTGCCGAACAGTTACAAATACCCATACCGCAAACCGTGTACCGAACAGTTACAAATACCCATACCGCAAACTGTGTACCGAACAGTTACAAATACCCATACCGCAAAACGTGTGCCGAACAGTTACAAATACCGTTAAAACGTGTGCCGAACAGTTACAGATACCCATACCGCAAACCGTGTGCCGAACAGTTACAAATACCCTTACCGCAAACCGTGTACCGAACATTTGCTGATCGGAGGTATACATTTTGGAATTTTTACCTATAAAACGATATATACTGAAAGGATAAAGAAACGCCGGGAAATATTTATTCCGATATTTTGAAAACGCGTTCTCTAAATAAAGTGAAACTTTGTGGATTGAGTAATTAGGTCATATTACACCTTGTCATGTATCGAAAATTTAGTCACGGTACAGTGCGCAGCTCTGGTAAACAGAGGAAGGAAAAACAAGAATCTCGTGCAACCTGTTGTTCTGGTCTCATGCAGCGTTGGTCAAGTCACTCTTCGTTAGTCTTTATACAGACCAACTGCTTCCCTAAAATTAATTGAGATTTGATTCGTTTTAAGAATGGCACGACTCACAGAAGTTCAAAGGGGTCAGGCCATTCAGATGCTGATGCAGGGACAGCTGCAAAATCAGGTTGCTAGGCACTTTGGTGTTAATGTCTCCACCATAGAACGTCTTGTAAGACGTTTTCGGGAAACTGGGCGATTGGCCGATCGACCTAGGTCAGGACGTTCGCACGTAACGTCACGACGTCAGGATCGCTATATCGTCGTCTCTCATGTGCGTAATCGGCGCCTTACTGCCGTTGAGAGTGCACTTAATGTTCGTGGGAATCATGGGCGTCCTATAAGTTCAAAACTGTAAGGAATCGATTACGAGAAGTTGGTGTAAGAGCACGTCGCCCCTACGTAGGTCCACACCTTAATCTCTGCTCGACGTCAGCATCGTATGGCCTGGGTCGATGCACATGCTCCACGACGGTTTCCACTGAGGCAGTGGAGACAAGTTTTCTTCACGGACGATTCTCGATTCTGTCTTTATCGATCTGACGGCCGTCAACGTGTCTACCGACGTCGTGGCGAACGTTTTACGGACGCTTGCGTTGTAGAGAGGGATAGGTTTGGGGGCGGTTCAGTAATGGTGTGGGGAGGAATCTCACACGGGTTAAAATCACAATTGGTTGTTATTGATGGCAATTTAACAGCAGCTAAGTATAGAGATGAGATCCTCCGACCCCATGTTATCCCTTTCTTACAACAGCATAATCTAACCCTCCAGCAGGATAATGCTAGGCCCCACGTAGCAAGGATTTGCCAAGTCTTTCTGGCCAACAACAACATTCAACCACTAGATTGGCCGCCATATAGCCCTGATTTGTCCCCGATCGAGCATCTTTGGGACCAGTTGAATAGAGAGGTTCGAAAGCGCCAGCCACACCATGCTACTCGAGAGCAGTTGACCAGAGCTCTGATTGAAGAGTGGGACAACATCCCCATAAGACGGATTAACGCTCTCATGAACTCTATGACCAGAAGAATAAGGGCCATGACCACAGCAAACGGCGGACACACAAGATATTGATGACTCAGTTCAATTTCAATTTCAAAATCCTATGGGTCCATTCAATTTAATCGTTAGTACCTCTAAACCAATTGTCAGATGCAAAATACAGACTTTGGAAATTTTTAAGCTTTAATTTATCTGTAAGTATACAAAATTTCGTTTTAAATGAAGCCCGGTATCATACTTAATTTCTGGTTTAAAGTTCACCCTGCGTTTCTTTATCCTTTTAGTATACATTTGTATTTATATTTTTTCTGAAATGCCGCTATATAATCTACAATACAAAAATCGTTCATCTGGAGCGAGATATCCACGCATGTGCGATGCGGTATGTCCTCAATAGCTGCATATGTTGTTTGTAAAGCTCACTAGTTATACGTAAGAATCCCTAACAGGTTTATAGATCTTATTCCAAGCTATCTTGGACTGACTTGTGCATTACGTTAGAAACAAGTTTACCACAACATTGATGGCCAGGGTAAAAACTGACAGAGTTATCAATTGTCATATGTTTTATTTTAATGATAACCAAATGACTGATGATAAGAAACCATGTATTTGCAACGTTTTAGCACATGTGTGTGAAGTTGTGCTGCGAGACACAAAGAACCTCAACAATCCAATCATTTGGGAAACTCAATAAGGAGTTGTTAGCTCCTCTCTGCGTTCAGTTCTGTGTTGCACTTACTATAAAAGGGTTGTTGTATCTTCAATGGGCATTTTTGGGTTTACAAATTTTTTAACGTACGACTTTGATGTTAACAGTGCTAATGAATTACTGCATAATCCATGGTTAGTATGGTACTAAGTTTACTTATAGATGGCGATCAGCAAAAGGTCTATCATCTTTAAACCCTCGCCATCAATAAGCATTGTATATTATATTATACTGTTTGTTATCTTGTAAAACTCCTCCGTAATGAGTATAAAATGGTAGTAATATCGATTTACCAGCTTTATCAAGTGATTTCTCAGCCTCCATATCAATGCCGTACTTTTTGCCCGAATGCCTTAGTGTCCAAACTAGTCGCTCCATTTTCTCTGTTGTATCTGTTTACTTGTGATAAGGGGAATAACTCCAGCTTTGTTTTATGATATCAAATAAGTATTATATTTCTTTACTTTCCTAGTAAATGGAATGAGACTGGTTTTGTATTTATTTTCTACCTCATATCGCGGGTGTTATTCAACTACTAATGTATAAATTAAACCTATTATACCACATGGTGTATAACAATTTAACGTGGTTAGGTTGGCTAACAGGGCGAATTTTGCGCGATTTCTATATGAACAGAAGTAGATAGTTTCGTCATCTTGTGAAATCCTAACTTGTGCAAAATATCCGTTTAAATCAATTCATACTACTAATAGGAATTCTTAACCATATTTCCCTGACGTAGTCACAACACATTATATCTCCCAGAAACATATTTATCCGACTTTAGACGTGTAGCTAAGGTTAAAACATGTTGTCTCCTGACTATATCTCTTGATTGTAATACTGACTTCCGGCTCTTTATCTCCAACAATGAAATGTATGAAACATTTTTATTAACCACTTCCATCGAATAAACCTGCCAGAATCGGAAATCAGACACAACGAACACTTCTACATCAGCTGCTTATCTCGATCTTTTCCTACAACGGAACTAAAATGGACAGCTTTGCACCAAGCAGTATTATAAATATTATGATTTCAATTTCCCTATTGTGAATTTTCAGTTTCTTGATAGCAATATCCTTGCATTTCCTAAATATGGTATTTGCATGTCACAGTTGATTCGATATTCAGGGGCCTGTTGCCATCATGACGATTTTCGTGCAAGAAGTTGTCAACTAACGGACAAACTCGTAACATAGGGGTTCGATTGACGGTTGATGAAAATCATTGGGGTATATTGTGGTCGCCACAAGGATCTCCTTGAGAAATAGTCTATTTCTTTGTATGATATGAAGCTGGACGTGTTTGATGCTCGTTAGTTTGCCTATTAGTTCCGTTGTTGTATACCTTGCTCTCATTTGAGAAGGTGACAATGCTTACTTGTATTTACCAAGCTTTACATGGTCTGGTGTTGTCGAGGAAGCAGAAGACGCTTACTGTTCCGACACACCTAATATTATTCTCCTTGTACTTTGTCAGGTGTTTCCGTGTAAATAATTCTTTTGATCATATTTTCCCACAATGTTATGGAATTTGAGTTTGGATTATGGTGACATGTTCGTTATTTTCTTGACTTTTTTTTTACATAAATCTCCCATGAAAATATCAACGTTCTACTAGTCACTCATTGTCTGATGTATTGTTACTCCATGTGATGTTTTGTATGAAATACGTTTGCCCTGTGTTGCATTTGTTACAATAACATGAGGTTTGCATACGATTATTTAAAGTCAGTATTGTAAGATGATATGAAAAAAGTACCATATTTTATCAAGTCACATCAAATACAAATGACACGATTTTTAATTGAATTTTATTGACATAAATAATTACACATCTAGCTATTAACCATTGATGGGACGACATCTGGAGACAACTTTTGTGTGTGGTTTCTAACCACCGTTAGTCTTACTCTAGATATGTGACATATCGTTTCCTAACCTTGATATCACTACGTAAGAATATACTACCTCTTAATGGCGTCTGTTTGCAATTCTTACATTTACTTAAAAGTGAAAAAACACAGTATATAGTTACTATAGTACCATGCTCAAATGTCAATCCTAATCCTCGTGTGGACAAATGTCCGTCTCGATTATAGGACTGTTTATTCAGTAATTCATGGTTGACTTATCACAAGCTTATCTTATGCTGCTGCACGTACAGAAATGGTCCACTCAGTGTTGGTAATAATGATTCACTCCGAATTGTGAGCCTGACATTACCTCTATTGTTAATCACACTTGTTAGTCATCTTTGGTTATGTTTGATAAATGAAAGCGTACCGAATGAACCTTATCACAAGCACAGACCAAGGCTTTCCCTGGGAGATATTTGAATGCTTTCATGGCGGTAAAATGACGTCACATGCCGAGCTAGAATGTCATCTTACTTGCAGTCTCTATTTTGAAGTATAGGCTGGTAAAAGTGTTGCCATTTGTTTTGTCTGTCACTGTATCAAGTATTAAGGAGGAAGACAGGAAGAATAGGTAGAAATGGGTTGTTTAAGCTAAAACTCAGTTCAGTGAGATCTCAAGCTTCATGTGGATGAGCCGAATGTTGGAAGGAGTGGTGACGGGTAGGTTGTAACACGAATCTTCAGGATTCTCAGGATGGGATTATTTCAATAAGAGTAAGTAGGAAAGTAGGCGTGGTGAGAGATCAGTTGGGGCACCGTTCTGTAGGATCCTTAGTGTGTTATGACGTCAGTAGGGTGGTAACATATATGTTAAGCAAGGGTTTTTTGGATCCTCAGTATGTGATGACATAAATAGGAATAGGCGTAGGCTGGTAGGGATGGTGACGTATATGTTGTGGCAAGGTTTTTCAGAGTCCTCAATATGTGATGACGACAGTAGGGGTAACAGTCATGACGGATATGTTGGGTCAAGGTTTTGTAGGATCCTCGATAAGTAATATCAGTAGGGATAGGCGAAGGTTGGTAAGAATGGTGAGGGATATGTTGGTCACGATTTTGCAGGATCCTCAATATATAATGACGTCAGTAGGAGTAGGCGTAGGTTGGTAAGAATGGTGAGGGATATGTTGGGTCAAGGTTTTGCAGGATCCTCAATATATGATAACGTCAGTAAGGGTAGGCGTAGGTTGGTAAGAGTGGTGAGGGATATGTTGGGGCACGGTTTTGCAGGATCCTCAATATATTACATGCAGCCAAGCTTTCTGCTTTACTATCACTCACTTCTGCCTCACGGCCTCGATCCCGTTTGTACTTTGTCCTTCTGTTTTGGAACCAGACCTTCACCTGTAGAAGATGAGATGATAAGTTTCTATCCTTTCTTCTTTTTCTGTGCAAGTTACATTATAAGAGCCAACACATCATATATAGCTGAAGCAGTAAGGGAAGGCATTGAACGTAAACATGTAATAAAACAATTTGGAACAAATTCACACACAGCAAAAAGAATGTCAAAAAGGGTAGGAAGCGCGTGCGCATGCGTTTGTATTGATTTAAACATTGTTTTACTACATTGCGTTTTACTGTTAGAAGACCTTGACTATGTTTAATGTTCAAAATTACAGCATTAATTTTCAAAATATGCGTTTTCATTAATATACTCAATATAATATTACCTGGGTTTCGGAAAGCTGAAGCTTTTTGGACAACTCAGTGCGCTCTTTTCCTACTAAGTATTGGTTACGCTGGAACTCTCTCTCTAGCTGGTACAGCTGTTCCGAAGAAAACGTTGTCCGTGCTCGCTTCGGACGGTCGAGGTCAAGGGCTTTAGGGAACACTAACTCCTTTACCACACCGTTAGAATCTGCAACAATAAAAAACTGGACCATTACATCATCTTGTTGTGAATGTCCTCTTGGTAAACTTTCTGTCGATGTCGTTTTAAACCATACATTTTGGATGATTCATCTTTAACTTAATGGTTTAAAAGTGTCAATTGAGAATCAAGGTCACTGTGAAAAAAGAAAGAAAACATGTGCTGGCAGACTAAGGAACAGAATGAGTACAACACAAAGAAAATACAATAGTAACTGGGAGACAACAAAACAAATTACAAAAGAAAAAAACGAATAAAGCTAGTGTACAATAGAAAATTCATGACCTCAAAGCAAAATATAAACGGAACTGAGAGACTACAAAATGAAATACCAGAGGAATTGGGAGACTACAAAACAAGAGAAACTAGGGTAGGATCTAAGAAATTACAGCACAAAAGAAAATACAAGAGGGGGTTTGAATCATCTCCCAAATAGTTATGGTTTGCATCGAGTTTGTAACAGCCATTAAGAAAAGTCGGGATGTTTTAAGTTATAAGACTTTTCCTGGTGGAAAAAGAGCTCATGTTTATTAAGGATATTGTTAACAATGGAGGAAGTCATGGACAGAGTCCTCTGAGGAACAGTCACATAGACAGGCAAGGGTATCAGCTGGGTTGGAATTCGATAACTCTCAAATCAGATTCATTGAGATTCTTACTTAGATTAAGGCAATACAAGTATCAAATGTATTAATACTTGGTAAATGTATTTATTGGTATTGGAGAGTGAAGCTCGTTGTGAATGTAATAAATAAGAAATACATGAACATGTCAACACGATTTTCAATATTTTTAATAATAAATAAGTAAAAAATATTAATATTAATTGCTAAAGTATACAGCATTTGTTCTTAATAATATTGACCCATGTGTTATTTCCTTAGAAGCCTATCCCCGTTGAATCACTGTTTTTCCCCTTACGGAAAGGTGCTGACCTTTCTCGATCAAATTGCCGACCATACATACAATTCCTAACGTAAGCATATCATATTTCTATCGTAATTAAAGGAACATGATCGCATTGATCGCTATGATATTACAACTGTTATCAGCATGTGATTTAATAATCCGTTTGTCGTTTTATCATTATTATTCCCAAAACTGACCTCTTGCCCATTGGCATGCTCTAAAGTTGTGAACCATTGTATGACGACCGCTCTATAATTAGAAGTCTTTGTTAGGCCGAATCGGTTTAATTCATAGACCAGTCGATCAGTCTTTTAAAATTTCTATATAGCAATTGTCGACAGCAATACTCACAACAACCAACACGTTTAACTTTACAGGGTAACGTGAAACCAGGTATTGTAAAATAAAAATGAAATGACAGTCTGCATTAAATTCCCATTCATTGATATAACCTCGATGTGCAGGACGTCGTTGGTGTCCCAGTCTTCAGGGAAGACACCACCACGCCCCATTTCATCGTGTAGGTTTCAAAGTTTTGATTATACCCTATGGCTAGCATTAGACAACCTGTCTAAACATAGTTGCAGAGTTGAATAAAAAAAATCACAATAATGGTGAAAAAATTCGATTGTTGTGTCAAATTTCATCCCGGCTAATTGGTTTTTGAACAAAAGAATTGTCAAATGTTTCTACAGAATTCCGTTTGATCCATGTCATCCAGTTTGTAAAACACATTTCATGGACGGATAGAATTCATCATGGACGTATACCTTAAGTACTACTAGATACAATTAGGCCATTAAAATACCGTCGATAGTGAACATGGATGACACAGTGGAATGTGAACGTTTTGTTGTCATCATCGTTACTCATATCTGTACCAAGTGACACTATATCAGAATGCTTCATCATACGTTCATACAAGAACATTTTGTTGGCCTCGCAAATTTCGTCAGATTTTTTCTTGCATCTAGAGAGAAAATTGTTCGCTAAATCACACTTTAAGCTGAAGCCGTCGTTTCCAGAAGTTTTTGTTTTACTATTTTGAAGATTGGTTTAAATTGCAGAAACAAAATGTCTTAAGAAAGTCTTGAAAAAAAATTGAATGATATTATAATACATGATTTTTGCTTTAAAAGCTTGATAAAACAGCGAAGTTTTGAAAAATCAAAACACATTGAAAGTGACTGCTCTGCTTAATAGCGTAAACAAGTTTTCATAGATATGTTTATGTAAATAAGTAAGATATTGAATAATAATCACACCTGCTTGACTTCATTTTTAGGAAAATGCATAATAGATAAAGGTTAATGTTTTGATAGAGTTAAATTACAATTATAAAGATATTAAATAAATTATAAGATTTAATTGAAATAGCAATGTGGCCGTAATATTGACTTCTCGACAAATCAATTGATCACGTTAGCCTGTCACATTCACAAAGCTCACTTGATTCCTTCTCGACTGTTTTGTTCCCTAAAAACACTTTCCGAGGACAAAGCCATTATTTACAGACTACGGAGCGTTTTATAAAATGTCGGTCAATATTTCATTAGATACTGTATTATGACGGGGACATGAGGTTGTCTTTTCTACCTCAAGTGTGATCAGATCGTTTGTGTACACAAAATATATTCTCAATAAGACTGACACTATTACAAACTTACAATAAGGATATTGATCTGAAACCGAAAGTTAATATAGCTACATATGATAAAGAAACCTGATGACAGAAACAACTCCAACAAACGGTTATTGTAATGATAATATCCATAAATACAAATATATTCTTTCGTTAGATGCTTAGCTTATATTGATTTATAATTGATTCTAAAACACGAACTGTATTTTCTTAAAGTTGTTCTGGTATTTGATAGTAAAACCGTTTTACACCGGAATGATAGTGATATCTAGGGGAAGCAGGTTTACTGGGATAATGTTGTTAGTAATGTTAAAATTCTTGAAATATCCGAAAACTTTGTGAGTGTACTGAACTCCTTCCGTGTTTTTTTGAAAAGAAAGTATCTACAACACCATATGCACGTATTTATGGATTGTTTTGTAAATGTAATATTGTTACGGATTTCTTCGAACATTTTGTAAATCATGTCCGATTTACTTTTTATTTCAACGCTCAATTGTCAGATTTTTTCTTTGATACAATAGTGATAAAAATACCAGATATAAACATGAGCAATGACATTCTTTTTTATTTCTTATATATCATTTTTGTAGGAATCTTAAAGATCTGTTAAATGCACATTGTAACTTAAAAAATAAACAATGATAAAATATTGATATATCACAAATTACAAAAAGTAATGGCAGCAAAAATGGCTTTCTAAGTAGAGAGGTTTAAAAAAAATACGATCACATGATAAATACATGCTGTTAAATAACCATTTATTGCCTTCATGAAATGACTTCACAATACAAATATGCCATGCAGTTATAATATGTACGATCAACAGACACAGACAATTTTATTGGTACTATGAAAAAATTAATTTTTAAAAGAAACAGATATTCGAATACATGTCAATATCATGGCGACTGTCAGACTACTTAACCTTACCGAATTTAGAGTCACTCTTGTAAATTCTATTAGACAAGGTCATACTCTTTAAAAAGTGTGTAACAAAAGTAAGAAGACAAATACTCGACACAAAAGTAGAAAAGAGCTGTAAAAAAAGTAGAAAAAATAAAATGATTACATACGTGTTTTGTGTGAACGCATCGCTTTAAGAGCGACTAAATATTTCATTACTTACTACAAATTGCTCAAGCTGGGATGCTGTCTTGAAACGTTGCTGTATGAAAGCAACAGTGTTCCTGTGTTGTCTCAGTGGTTGTTACTTTGTTATTTGTTTTTGACATTAAAAGATGGTAATAAATTTGCCTTTAATTCTTTAGATAAGAGTTACTTTTCCAAGTATATAAACTAAGATCATATTGGTAAGAAATATACACATCGACAAATTATCTAATAAAAAGATACTTTAGTTCAGATAGCGCCAGGAAATGTATGGAGAGCCTACAACATACGTAATTACGGGTAGGCTAAAATCACACGATAATGTGTATACTGTCATAGTTTGATTACGTAAGGTATTATCCAAAGACTTTAAAGAAGTATATTTTTGTCATTATTGTATTATCGAAAATAAAAATAATGTTCAAATGTACAAATACATTCGAAGATATTTGGTAGAAAAGAATTATACTATTATGTAAAAATCCAAGTTTCCTTTCATTGGTTTCAGATATGCAATGTCATAAACACTCGGATTGCATATTTGCCAACGGTCCAAAATTGCTTTGGTTTAAACTTAATGCTCTCTTCATTGTTTATACTTTTATCATATGTGCAAAAGCTATTTTATCAACATCTTTGTATCGTACACATAGAGTGTTTCATCGCGCCAGTGTATACGCTTGTTTATGCAAAAGAAAGTTGTGATTTGAATTGTCGCCATTATTGTTCTCGTATGAAAATGGGGGCTATTTCACTAAGTTCATGTTTTTTTTTGTTTGTTTTTTTACTTCACCCTACCCTCAATTTCAGGGCTTCAGGACGTAAATGTTTGTATTTGACGTATATCTCGGAACATTTTCAACGGGTCGGTAGATGTTATTATTGCAACCAATGGAAAATATGTATGTTGTTTTTATGACTTTCCTTTAACCTCATCAGACTATGAAGACTAGCGGACTTTGACGCTTCACATTTATCATTCGTCTAACAGAGGAAACATTGTAGTCATTGAAACGTCACAGAAACTGTCTAACTGGTTGTCGTATAAAAACATCTATTCAAAGGTGACAAAATCCCTCACCACCTTACATCATGTCATGTTTTTTTCTGTGCAGTTTTCCACGTGATATCGTTGCAAATATTTCCTTGTTCAAATTTTTTGAAAATGTTTATCAACAATGCATTATTTTTCTGCAATATATACATATCTATTATATCTGCTAATTTCATTACCAAATTAATGTTATAATATGTATACATGTATACTTTATTGTTGTTTTATGTATTATATTAGTTGTATATCACTAAACATAGTATGAGACAATGTTACTTGTATTGTTACCCTATATCGCTGTTCATAATATTACACAATGTTACTTGTATTGTTACCCTATGCCACTGTACATAATATCACACAATGTTACTTGTATTGTTACCGAATGTCACTGCACATAATATTACACAATGTTACTTGTAATGTTACCCTATGTCACTGTTCATAATATTACACAATGTTACTTGTAATGTTACCCTATGTCATTGTTCATAATATCACACAATGTTACTTGTATTGTTACCCTATATCACTGCACATAATATTACACAATGTTACTTGTAATGTTACCCTATGTCACTGTTCATAATATTACACAATGTTACTTGTAATGTTACCCTATGTCATTGTTCATAATATCACACAATGTTACTTGTATTGTTACCCTATATCACTGTACATAATATTACACAATGTTACTTGTGTTGTTACCCTATATCACTGTACATAATATCACACAATGTTACTTGTAATGTTACCCTATATCACTGTTCATAATATTACACAATGTTACTTGTGTTGTTACCCTATATCACTGTACATAATATCACACAATGTTACTTGTAATGTTACCCTATATCACTGTTCATAATATTACACAATGTTACTTGTATTGTTACCCTATGCCACTGTACATAATACCACACAATGTTACTTGTATTGTTACCGAATGTCACTGTACATAATATCACACAATGTTACTTGTATTGTTACCCTATATCACTGTACATAATATCACACAATGTTACTTGTAATGTGACCCTATATCACTGTACATAATATCACACAATGTTACTTGTAATGTTACCCTATGTCATTGTAAATAGCATGAGGCAATAAAGAAGAAGAAGAAGAAGAAGAAGAAGGAAGAAGAAGAAGAAGAAGAAGAAGAAGAAGAAGAAGAAGAAGAAGAAGAAGAAGAAGAAGAAGAAGAAGAAGAAGAAGAAGAAGAAGAAGAAGAAGAAGGAGAATGATTTACAACAATTACAGGAATAAGTATTTGATTTACTGATTCACGTTTTCAATGTTCTAAATGATGACGAATTTTACATATGACATACATACCCTGCACCACCATGGTTTTACAATATTCTGGGTATTTAGATTTGGATTCTGGACTTGGTGATGGTACGTCCTCACGTGCGTTATCTCCATGGTAACGGCTTATCAGTCCAATGTTGAGAAAGTTTTGATCCATCGTTTTGTCTTTGTACCTTTATTTCTCAGACACTACTTGGTAGAAATACTTCATTGGTTGCTGACACTGTCTTATGTCTATTCATTTACATATAAAAGACAAGTTTTTAAACAAAATCAATTAGACAATATGTTCTTCAGTTCGATGTCCATTTGATGTATTGTCCTTTGATTATGTTGTAGTTTCAACAAATTGACGTGCTGCCATATGTGGTTTTATATGATGTACATTTGTGAGAGAACACTTTCGGAGAGGAATATTTGGACACCCACTGTACAGTTCTGAGGAAATCTAACCACCATGTTATAGCATTAGTAATATCAAGTTCTGTCCGTACTCTAGTCTGAAAGTTCGCACGTGTATGAATTGTCTAATGTAACTCTTGTTTCTTTTATGGTAACTTAGTCGAGAGGTGGCAACCACGTGACCATATGATACAATTGTTTCACTGTACTTCTGAAAGACGACCTTCCGATTTAACGAATCGATTTCGTTTCATTGCAGATGAAAAGAATGTCACGTGACCAGTGTCGCATTTTATCAACTGCAATATGAGGACTCAATTAAATATACCTGTAGCCGCCTCCAGACACGCCTACCAAACCATGTAACAGTGACCACGCCTTCTTTTTGTTATCCCGCCATTGAAGGAACCGCTCCAACTAGCGACCTGCAGAGAGGTCATCACTATAAGCAGGGGGAGTAGATTCAGTATTCAATGGAAGCTGGATAATTAGTGTGAAAACTGAGGAGTGTTATACCACCAAATGATACACTATTCACCCTGATGATGCGTGTGTGTTAAAAACTTCATAATATTTACTCCTGCCCTGAGATACGACAATTGTATCATCGTTGCTTTCCTACATTTGAAAGTATCTTACCTATTTCTTTGGCATTCATTCGAAAATTCGTATCAGATGTAGTAGATACATAAAGGTAAAGTAGAAATGACAAGATTCAGGACAATGTGGACTGATGTAATTCATACCTGCAAATCGCAAAACAAAGAGAAAAGTTCAAATTCAGGTTATTTGAACTCACTGTTTGTCTACTTTTTAAAGCCGTATTCAACAAAAGTAAACCATGTTTCGAAACAATACATAATTTTCGTTATTCAACCAAATCAAAAGTACAAAATAAATAATAAATGTTAATTGACATTTTTATTTTAATATTGATTTCAATGTTCGATATAATTACAGCAATGACTTGCAATAAGTACCTGCGTTCATTTCTGTAAAGAATAAAAATGTTAATAGGTGAAATTACTTATTCGGCTTGTACTTCCAATAAATCAATATGTTTGATTTATTTTTATTCCAATACTTGTTCTCTTGTTTTGCTCTTACCCCTAATAAAAATGCTGTTTAGATGTTCTGTTTTCCACAAATCTATCAATCACAGTCAAAATATATGTTAAACACTCACTTGGTGAGAAGCGAGTATTATAACTACATAAACATATAATTTATGCCAATCATGAGGTATATTCCGAAACAGTTGGTTTAGCGTGTCTATAGAAAGATTTCCTTTACTCTTGTCTTAACTGTGTGTGTTACTGTCATATATGTTGAGTATAAACGTTATTTCTATTTCCGTATTGATAAGGTATTTTCTTCGCTTAATTTAACTAAACAGAAGCAGAAAAATACAATTCATTGACTGCTAGGAAGGTAGAAATGCTGAACCACAATAACGGTTCTGTTTAGGATCGGGTACCCCTGTCATCTATCCAAATCACCCTGAAAACATGTCTATGCACATATGTAAACTGTGTTAGTGGTATTGTCGATCTCTATTTGATATCATATCGGTATTAAACAAATGTGATTATATCTTAATGTTGACTGAAGATTTGATAAACACTCTGTAATACACGGTTATAAGTACATATGTCTATACATGGTGTCAATTCCTAGGTTAAGAGGACTCCAGAAAATTAACTTTCGCACTCTTTATTTATAACTGAATACATGTTTGATTTTAAAATATATGATATCAATGTAGATCTCATAAAGAAGTTTGAAGCATGATATTAAATAATTGATAGGGCAGAGTTCCCATCAGCGGGGTAACTGTTATGTTTTGTAGGGGTAAGGGGGCTGCCTACTAAGACACGCCCCCACAATTCTATATAATTAAATGAATTTATTTAGCTATACATGGTGTATAAATAACGGAGAAGGAAGGAACACATTGTACACACAATGGAATGAACTCCTGCCGGGGCACACGACAAGTTAGAATACAAATAATGCGTTCAATTAAGTAACTTCACCATTATTATTAATGAATAGTTGTTTCCATGTGTTGTGATGTGTGTTATTTTAAACCAGGCGAGTTGGAACTTGTCCAGTGGGTTCCAGTCTCTAACCAACATGTGACGTCCTCTGTTTCGGTCAGTGAACTACTGGTAGGTTATGTCATGGACTTATCGTTTAAGTAAAACTTAATTATAGCTATAATAAATGTACCCGCTACTGTCTACTGAGTTATGACGTCTGCTATATTAAGGACATACGGACTTAGACTTACTGATATAGAATATCAATATAAAATTTCGTTGAATAAATAAATATATATGTTTTGGTTCTGCTCAGATATTCGGTTAGAGTATGTTTCTACTCAGATATTCGGTTTGAGTATGTTTCTGCTCAGATATTCGGTTAGGGTATGTTTCTACTCAGATATTCGTTTAGAGTATGTTTCTGCTCAGATATTCGGTTAGGGTATGTTTCTACTCAGATATTCGTTTAGAGTATGTTTCTGCTCAGATATTCGGTTAGGGTATGTTTCTGCTCAGATATTCGTTTAGTATGTTTCTGCTCAGATATTCGGTTAGAGTATGTTTCTGCTCAGATATTCGTTTAGAGTATGTTTCTGCTCAGATATTCGGTTAGAGTATGTTTCTGCTCAGATATTCGGTTAGAGTATGTTTCTGCTCAGATATTCGGTTAGAGTATGTTTCTACTCAGATATTCGGTTAGAGTATGTTTCTGCTCAGATATTCGTTTAGAGTATGTTTCTGCTCAGATATTCGGTTTGAGTATGTTTCTACTCAGATATTCGGTTAGAGTATGTTTCTACTCAGATATTCGGTTAGGGTATGTTTCTGCTCAGATATTCGGTTAGGGTATGTTTCTGCTCAGATATTCGGTTAGAGTATGTTTCTGCTCAGATATTCGGTTAGAGTATGTTTCTGCTCAGATATTCGTTTAGAGTATGTTTCTGCTCAGATATTCGGTTAGAATATGTTTCTGCTCAGATATTCGGTTAGGGTATGTTTCTGCTCAGATATTCGTTTAGGGTATGTTTCTGCTCAGATATTCGTTTAGGGTATGTTTCTGCTCAGATAGGGTATGTTTCTGCTCAGATATTCGGTTAGGGTATGTTTCTACTCAGATATTCGGTTAGAGTATGTTTCTGCTCAGATATTCGGTTAGGGTATGTTTCTACTCAGATATTCGGTTTGAGTATGTTTCTCTGGTTCTCGTGTTTCAGTCCAATGTTGTACTTCAAATGGTATTGGGATTCGACTTTTTTTTACCCCTCTCCTGCACCAAAACTGTTATTTTGTATTTAATTTGATTTGGCAAATGCTATTTTAACATTATGTATATTAAGATTGATAAATAAATCAGTTCTTTAGCTTGTCGTTTATTGATATAGACAGTCAAATTTAAATTCATATCCAGTGTTGATTTTGTTCAATTTATTTATTTGGTCCAACGAGCTCGCCTTTGTCGACCCAAATTCTAATATAACTACACCCATAAAAGAACGCATTCGCTGTGTTGTTGTGAGAACTTTCTTTTTCCAAGAGCGGTGAACTTATGTACAAATACATGGTTGTGAAGCGTATCTCGTGAAAAACACGTCCAAAGGAAAGAAGAAATATATGCAGGGCGAAATCACAAAAATGATCACGTTTCTAGTTCATCGAGTTTAGTGATCTGCCAACAGACTACAGGCAAGTCTATGGGAACTAATTGTGTCCCTCAATTAGCTAACTTGTTTTAGTTTTCTTACGAGGCTAAATTTATCAAAGAACTTATGGAACCAGGTCACAAAGACTTCGCAAAGTCATTTAATGTCACTTTCAGATATATTGATATCTCAATCTTACCTACAACGAAATCATGATGGACAACTTCCCACCAAGCTATATGATAAGCGTGATTATCTTGATTTCCCTATAATGAATCAGTCTCCATTTCTGGATAACAACATCCCTTCACCCCCAACCTGTGGTGTTTATATGTTGCAGTTAATTTGATACACAAGAACATGTTCCCATTATGACCACGTGCAAGAAGTCGTCAACTGACGGACAAAGTCGTAGCACATGGTTTAAAAAAGATGCAGGTTTATGAGAATTATGAAGAAGATTTACGGTCGTCATAGTGATCTCATTGAGAAATATTATCTTTTTTCCTGCTAAATGAAGCTGAACGTGTTTGATGTTCGATAGTTTGTCTGTTTGTTGCATTACTTACTTGTACTGACCACGATTTACATGACCGGTGTCGTCGGTGAAGCAGAAAATGCTTACTCTTCCGAAACTGCTGGCTTTATTATTATTATTTAAAAACTTTTTTGGGAGTCTCTGTGTATTTTTTTCCCTCCTTTTTTTGTCCAACTACAGATACAATTCACATTAGGATACCATATATACGAATCATGATAATTGATATACATATAGGATCTTAAAATGCCATTGAAATACAGGTATTTATCAATTTTATAAAAGTTTATATCGTTATTGCAGTGATGTTATCGATATTAACATGTCCCGAACAAAACGATGTGCGAAAGAGATGTTGGTACCGAATTACGTAGACGATCAAGTGACAACCTTAAGGATATAAATATAGAGTAAATAATATGGGGATGTATAGTGACGTAAAGTAGCTAGATCAAACGAAATTTCTTTTATACGAAAATACGTTATAAATTATACAATTGTTAATTCTTATTTATTAAATCTTTTGGTACTT